ATAATTTTTGTGTAGTCAATCTCTTCTAATAATTCTTTTTCAATCGATAATATAGCCAAACCACTTAATCTTTCTTGAGACATTGTTGATCTTAAATTCGATTTTATTATTTTTAATTTTGAAAAACTTCTTTCTGCTGAAGCGACTGTTGCAGGAATTGTTAACATTATTCTATAAGCAATGTAAGCATTTGGAAAAGAATCAAGTATTTTTATTTGATCAAGTATCTCAATTAGAGTATTGTCTTCTACTTGTATGATTTTCCTTAACACTTTTAACTCAGAAAATAAGTCTAAACCGTCAATATCGGAGTGAGTATTATGTTTTAAGGAACATTCAAGATTAAGACAATATTTTTTTGAATTCTCATCATCTAATGATCTCAATTTTTTCCCACTAACTAGAAAACCAAAAATATTTTCATATACTTCAAATTGTTCAAATCAAAAACATAAACTATATTTTTTGAAAATTGAAATTATCAATAGAACAAGTAAATTCTTAAGTTTTGATTAAGAGAGATATAAGATTAGAAAAGAAAAAGAGAGAAGAAATAGAAGAGAGGAAGAGAGAAGGATAGAATATATAAAAATAAATTAGAAAAAGAATAAGGTAAAAAAAAGAAGATAACTTGTACAATTAAAAAGGTAAAAAGTAATAGTCATATCAAGTCATCTCATTAATTTGGTTTGAATTTAAAGTCTTAGTTTTTTTTTTTTTTAGTTTAATCCTACCTAAGAAACCAAAAAATGGGGCCCCCTAAACTTGGGGGCCTAAGGCCAAAGTCTTTTTTTCAAAGCTTACCAGCCGCCCCTGCGGCCCCTCCCCTTCATGTACATACGCCCCTGATTCGATTTGGATCACCTCATTGATATGTTCGATCGATGAAAAGTGACAGTTGATTCTATTTTCCCATCAGTAACTTCATTCAACTCGAGTTTTTTGAATTATAAACCACACATTCATTCTTATCCCTCTTGAAAATTCAAAAAATCGCTCGTGCCGAAGGAGCAGAGTCCCCTGTTCTTCAATTTCCACCATTTTTCTCCACGAACAGCTCTACTGCTACAGCTCGAACGAGTGATGAGAGTTTCACAAATTTTATGCTCAATTGATGACTGAATCAATAATCGTGTAGTTATTTGAGAAGTATCCGTCCTTTTTGAGGGCGTGATGATTCTCTTTTCTGAGGAAATTCTCATAAAGTTTCCCATATGATCGATAAGTAGCTTGACATTGCATTTCAGAATGGTGTAAAAAATCTCATCTTTAGAGTTCCTTACTTTCCATTACTTATTTTCAAAATATTGGCAACAAAATGGTTAAGATAATTGGTTCTGAGTAAGTGTGATCTCTATCTTATGTAAGTTTAGACGAAAATATGCTTTAGACGAAAACTTAATAGTTGTCTATTGATTGTCTCTTTATTCTTCACGTGTCGTTTGGAGTTGTTGAATCGTCAAAAGATCAAGTCAGTTTCCATGAAGGTCTTGAGGATTCTGTATTGTGGGCGAAGGTTTTCAAAAAATCTTCGGCTCAAATAACTCGTAAGTCGTAACAAAGCAATCTTTAAAAGTAACATACAAACGCAAAGTAGATATATCAAATAATAACGAAATCACTACATAACATTCAGAAAAAAAGAGCAGTAACAACATCAAAATAATGTGTTAATCCCTTGGGTACGGGGTCGAGTTTATTAGGGAGCGTTTTACCCCCAATGTGGGATTTCCCGACACAAATCCAGATTTAGTCAGGCTTCAATGTGGGTACCGGACAGTAGAAAACCAATAAATAAATAAAATAATGTGTTAACCAAACAAGATGTATTAACAGAAATCGAAAGGCAAGCAACTACGAAATTAATACTAATATGTACTACTGAAATACAAGGAAAATAATGTTCGACTACCTGCTAACTTACCAGGAATAAAATTCATATTGAGATAATTTGGCAGTATTTCGATCTCATAAACTGAGACGAAAGATTATCTTGATCACTTCTAAGTAATTAAAAAAGTTATTAATTATAGGGTTACAAGTAATTTGGAACAACTGTTTATAATAACGTGGACAATTAATATGAAACAGATGGAGTGTTTAGCTATTTTTGACATTTAAAATCTTGAAAGTTTAGCCAAATGTTGAAACTTCATCAATTAAGTTTGACTTTAAGTATATTTAATTTAGTTAATATTAGCTTATGCCTATAATAAGACAGTTTGGCTAAAAAACAATTTAAGAAATTGTGTACTGTGCAATGTAGGGCTATGCTGGACCTTTGAAGAAAAAAAAGAGATCTAATTCATGACTTATAATTTATAATTATGGGATTTAAATTTCATACCTCGATTATTCGTTATTATTCAAATTATCACTTTTTTTATTTTAAAACACACCCCGATATTAAATTAATATACACGCGCATGTTGTAAATTGATAATAATATTTTATCAACTAACCTCACAAAAAAGTGTTAGGTATTTAAATATGAATATTTGATTATTAATTAACTCAAAAAAATTAAAATAAGATGACAAATTGCCAGCTCATATTTTTAGATGTCATACTTCTACTAATATTTTAAAGAGGAACTTTCACATATAGAAAATAGCCTAATTACTCTCAATGGCTATAGTTTGATAATTATAATTCATAGCTACATGTTATAGTGAGGAGAGAGGCGAGCGAGAGAGAGCAAAGAGTGGGAGAGAGGTGAATTGTATATGTATATTGGTTAGATAATTGTATATTATACATATGTATTTGTATATATGGCAAGCGAGATTGGGAGAGGGAGGAGAGAGGCGAGCAGAGAATGGGAGAAAGGTGAATTGTATCTGTATATCGGTTAGATATTTGTATATTATACATATGCATTTGTATATATGGCAAGCGAGATTGGGAGAGGGAGGAGAGAGGCGAGCGAGATTGTGAGAGGGAGATGAGAGGTGAGGGAGAGAGGGCAGAGAGTGGGAGAGAAGTGAATTGTATATATATATCGGTTAGATAATTGTATATTATACATATGTATTTGTATATTCTGGCGAATTATATATATACAAACGTGACTAATTATACAAATTCGAAGTCAGTCCACGTAATTAATGTATAATGTTAGTCACGAGTGATAATTATAGCAAACTATAACCATGATAAGTAATTAAATAGTATAAATTTGCTTAACCGCATTTTTTTCTCTATTTTAAATGCGTTCACACAATTCAACTACTCGTATATTAAATAGCACCTTTTGTTTAAGTAAGTATTTAAATAATAAAAGGGGCAGTTGGGTGGTTGCTGTCACGTTTACTTTTTAAAAATAGCACAAACAGTTAGGAGTATCGTAATATTTATATATAGTTATAAATATAAAAATCGTTTTCATTAAACGTAAAATAATCAAAAATTAAAATTAAAATTATTATAGAATATAAATATAATATTTTTAAAGAATTAATTAAATTAAAAGGAGAAGAAAAAAATTGTGTGACTCAAATAAATTTAAACTTTATTATAATGGCCAAAAAGAACTTGTCTTTTACAACTATTTACCAAAAAAATGGGAGGAAATTCCAAAGTCAATTATCCAAAGCCTTCCACCATTTCTCTCTCCTCACCTACTCCACACCCCTCTATTTTTAATTAATAATTTTAAATTTGAGCTATGAAAAAATAATCTTATTAAATATTGTTTTTAAAAATGAATTTGACAAAGAGTGAATCTAAATTTAATATGGCTATCAAATACCATTTGATTAGATATATTAAAAATAATATGTATTACATAAAAAAAAATTAAAATTATTTGTTTACTAGAAAACACCGTCCACAAATACAGTGAAAAGGATATAGAAAACGTTTGAGTGATAATTATGTCTACATCCATGCTAAATATGCAGTAAAACCTCTTGCATGACTAATAATTTCTCATGTATTAGTTATACCTAACATAATACCAAAATAGAGTATAGCTACACAAAGCTAATACATAACGTTATTTTTTGTAATGCATCTTATCAAACGACCCCTAAGAATCTATCAGATATAGTCTTACTATTCTTCTCAAAATAGTAAGAATAAGATAATGCATGCATTACTTTTTTCGAACCCTACTCATACTAGTACTAAAAAACTTTATGGCTGAGATTTTACATTTCCATTCCACCTTTTTTTTTCCGGAAAC